GACATTCTTAGGATCACTTCTGAGGATACTGACAATTAAAATGTTTATACACTGAGAGACCTTTGGGACTGTAGCGGAACAACGTATGTGACAGCAGCTCCACTATGGTTTTGGTGCGCTGCGGTAAAATCTTGGGCGCGTGACAATCCCAAAAGTTGGTTAGCAGCTCACCGAAGTAGTGGGAATGCCGCCTTTGGTTTGCAGCTGAACAACTTTGGGACTGTCACGCGCTCAAGATTTTACCGCAGCAACCCAAAAGTATAGTCCTGTAGCGTACCACCAAAATGGTCAGTAGCAGCCTATCGAAAGTCTGCTGCTGACCCAAAGGTCTCTCAGTGTAGCTAACTGTAATTTCAAAAATCAAAATTTAGTTTAAAAGTATCAATAGCAAAATTCTTCTGTAAAAATTTAGTTCAGGCAAGCAATGCTCTACTTTTGCAAATGTGTTTGAATGCACACATTTTATACAAAAACATACCAGAATTAAATTGATAACAAATAATCGATATTACTTTACAAATTATTTTTCCTTTTTAATTTGCAAGTATGATAATATTATAAGGTCAACTATTGAGATAGAAAATGTTTTATATTGAAAAATTGACCTACAACGTAAAAGTATGAAAATAATACACATATCTCTCTCAAATTTGTGGACATAAAACATCTTAATCCTTAGAAGGTACTCTGGGTTAGCCTAACTCAGAGAGTTGTACCGCGATCCGTCGCAGATGAGCAAACTGCTCACCATCATAAATTAGTCCAAAATTGTTATATAATGCCAAATTTTTTCTTAATGTTCATAAAAATTTATAAAGAACCTATTGTCAGTAAAATTAACTTTCATTTTCTGTTTATTATTCAAATAAAAAATAAATGACAAATGAAATCGAGTATTCGCTGTCTGTCGCACGGTGAGAAGTTTCCTCACTTTGCATCAAATTCAATAACAAAAAAATAAAAACACAAAAATTTTTTTAATATAAAGAAGAAGAGTGTTGTGAAAGGTACTGAGAATATAGATAAATTATAATTTTTTATATTTTAATAGTTATAAATAAAAAAAGAAACTGGGTGGGAAAACTTCTCATATACCATGCGACGGATGGAGGGTTAATGAAGATTACAAGAGAGACATTGAATAACACAGAATACATACTGTATGCTTGATAATTTCCACAGGACGTCAAAAGACTGCAGACTTTTGTCTTCTTCAATACATCGTATTAAATATTCAGAAACACTATTAAAGATGTTATGTTGCATATAATCTGCGTGCAGATCCAATTGAAGCACATCAAGAATATAATAGGTTAATAAAAGTGTGTGCAAAGATAAGCTCATAATTTACACTCAAAATTCTCTTCGTATTTAACCTTATTAATCAGTAAGGATGAATGTTAGCGCTTCAACAAATTCAAAACGATATAATATTCAGAATGTTTGATTCGAATAACGTAATACTCCCATTCGCCATTGTAACTTTATTATGGAAAATGAAAGAATTTCTGCAAAACTAATTTTTTAAATAATGCACCACAAATTCCAAAATAAAAATAAGAGACGAACAAAAGAATCCAGTAAGAAGAATGAAAGAAAGGAGCTGATGCTGACTAAATTCTTTCGCTTCTCTAGAAACACTGGATGTCACTTCATTTAAATTGTTATTTCTCTGAGTATATGCTTCCTTCCATTTATTACTAATGCCACTGTCGATAATTCTTTGAGTCACTTGATCCATACGTCTAGCATAAGGCGAACCAGCGCCAAGAAAAGTTGCTGCAGGTCCATTCAGAAATCTACCCTTTAAAAATTTTACAGCCTGTGGCCCAATGTTTGACAAATTTTGAAGGATAAATTCAGCTTTTCCAAATTCAACAATGCAAGAAGTATTTTTATATTTCACTAAATGATCCAAGCATATAGATTCATCATCATAATATGCAGTACTAGCTTTCTTCAAAATTTGTTGCTCAACGCCATCAACAGTGTTTTCCATCGCAACTAGATTATTCGATGTAATCATAACTAATAAATTCGAGTTAAGAACATCGGTCAAAGCTTCGTACTTGAATGTTGAAACTGTTTCTAATTGTGCCTCCGTTATAGAAGAAAAAATATCCGATGAGAACATGAAACATCCAATAAGAAATGTTCCGAAAATTATTCTTTCTATTGTTTTTGTCGGCTCTTCTGGTGTGGATGTTCCTAAAACAATTCGTACCAAGTAGTCGATTTTCCAGTTTCGCTTTTCAAGTCGCATAATCCTTGAAAGGATCCACAAAGTAAGAGGCAAAATCATCACTAATAGGATATTCATTATTTGCTTCTCGAATTTTACTGATTGTTTGTCTTCTCTTATCAGAGGAACAATCAGTGCAAAATCAATTGTTTGCAAACCTTTACTGAATTCAATGCCTCTGCCATTGCACAAACCTCTAAATCTTTCTAAGCCCATCATCTGAACTTCATTAGTAAAAAGGGCTCGAACAACACCCGAGCTACCTTCTATTTTACACGTCAGATTACCAAATTCTGAAAGTGTTGATTCCACGAGCGTGAAGTTCATCACTTCTTGCAAACACTCGATTTTCGAGATCGATAATCCAACATTCTTGACTGACAAATTTTTTTTCGGTAATACGTCTGGAGGAACTGGTAACAAAGATACCTTTAGTTGATAGCCATGCATATTTTTTAGCTTTTCTGGAAACCAAACTGATTTAGCAGTCACCTTTCGGTTGGTAATCTTTTGTGAAAAAGGATTGTACTGAAGTACTTTGTTAGCATTTTTGGAATAACCTTTTTGGGTATCATTCAAATTTTTAATAACTTTACCGACCTCAATGACAGTAACATCCAGAAATTGTTGCTCCCAGAGAGATTCAAAAAATTGCCGATAATTTGTAAACTTTTGGTAAACAAGTAGCAAGCATTTTGGTCGTCGTTTTGCTTCTGATAATTCGGTCAGAAAATCAAATGATCTTGAAAATTGAGGATCATCGTTCGAACCCGTCAGAATAAATAGCGAAATTCGTGGATTATGCGTAATAAAATCCGATGTCGATGGTTTTCCTGATCTTGGTATACCAATTGTTCGAACTGGAATGTTCCTGCTCAATTTTTGAATCAACTTATCGTGAAGTTTGATTGATGATGCAATTTTGTCGTCAATTAAAAATGTAACCTGATGTATTTGTTGATCGTTCTGAATACTTTTAGAAAAACTTTCTATCCATTTGTCATCATTATACCCTATTACAACTCTGATATAGAATATTATTCCAATGCTTACTATTATTTTTAGCGACATTTTAATTTTAATTTAATTAATTTATTTTTTTATTAATTAATTTATTAATTTAATTAATTTAATTTAACTTTAATATTACTATGGGGAATGTGATAATGATTACTTAATGTCGCTAACAGTAACTATAAAAATCAAAATTTTCTGTAGCAATATGACTTGTAAAAAATGTTTTAAATTCTTCCGTTAACATCCACTTTCTACAAGTAATATTTCTGAACTCCTGGAAATGTGTAGAAATTTATATTGACCTACAAAAAAAATAAGTTGATAACAGATCATAGATGTTATTTTATAAATTATCTTTGTATAATTGTAGCTTTTCAAAAATGAAAATTTTTTCTTGTTGATTCTTAAGCATGATATAATATTTATACTTTTTCTGAGGTCAAATGGATAACAATCTGTTGTGAACGATATTTTCAGCTTTTGTAAGGAGTAATCCAAACGTTTTATTTTGATTTCAAGAATGTAAGAAACTCTGAATTATAAAGTTTATTCTTTAAAATTTTTTATTTTGTCTAATTGTGTATTTAATGAAGGTAATGATGATTATTAAATACTAATGTTTAATAATGTTAATAATTCGTAATACAATTTTTTTATAATACCCTTTTTAATTATTTTATTCCTTTCTTTTTCGGTAGTTTATAAAACTTCTGAAATAATTTCCCTTCCATTATTATATGGGCTTCAATCCAATTAATTGAATTGATAATTAGGAAGAGGATGCTTTCTCTCTCTCTTAACTTTTTAAGTCCGAAGGCCAACGTTTAGTTAAAGTAAAAAGTACATTCTTTTTCCATAAATAAAATAATTATTAAAAAAAACATTATTATTATTTCATTTTAAAATTCCATTTCTACCAATAATTAAATATGAATTTTAATTATTGTCTTTAAATATAAATTATCATTATTGTTATTTATAAAAATAAATAAATCAAAATTCGTGGACCACAATAGAACTCTAATTTTTTAGTTTTTCTTTGTGGTTGATATGACAATTTCTGAAAATTTTTGTGCTTAATATTTTAATCGATTTGTTAAAAATTTCGTTTGTCGCTATAATTTTTTCAAAGTTTAAAAGTATTACCTTATGGATCGATTCGTCGATTGTGATATTTTTAGTTAAACCTTGCATATAGAAGTTTTCATTAACTTCTATTTATTTTTTGAAACTACTGATTCAATAATTAATTTTATCAGCATTTTTTTATTTTTTTAGAGAAGTTAGTGTTAATTACTTGAAATTGGAAGAAAACTTTCTCTTTCTCTTAAACGTTTGTTTGTAACAATATTTTCCCACTGAGCTCTTAATATTATTGTTAAGAGCTGGAAAAATTGAATATTCTTTTTATAAAATTGGATTTTCTCTACTTGATTTTAAAATTTAATAAAATGTGGCTAGTATTTTTCAAAGGTAAATTATTAATGATTAGAAAAATACAACTACTTTGACTACTACTTGGTTCATTTTCTTTTGAAAAATTAAAATACTAACATTAAACAGGAAAAATAATTATCAATACAAAGATATAATTTGTAAGTGTTATTTATGAAATTATTTGCAATTTTTCTGTTTCATTTCTTACTATTTGATTGTTCTCTTTTTTCTAAATACAAAAAGTTAATTAGTTGGTAAGTAAAATTGAGTATAAAAGAATATATTAAAATTGAAAATAACTTACTTGTCTCTCGTCGCTAGAACCGCTTGCCACAAGGCCGAAAGAGAAGCAATTATTCGCGGCAAATGACTCAAGGCAGTTCTTCTCGCGTGCGAATGTTGCTCACTGGTTCCTGTTTTATTTGTCGCTCCAAGATCCTAATTAAGAAAAAAGAAAATTATTAAATATATATAAATTATTATAAATTCTCTTCACGAGAATTGAATTATTTTCCTAAATAAAACAAATTCTTTGAAAGAATTCTATTATTATCAAATTTTTTGATAAAATTCTATGCAACAATTCGATGATTTTCAATTACATTAATTTTAAAATTGAAAATATTTATAAAGAAAAATTATTAAATTACTTTAAACTACGAACAGATTACCGGAATACAACGATTATTATTAATATAGATTTTCTAAAAATACATTTTAAACTGAATTTAAATTTCATATAATTTTTTTATTTTTGAATTAGTAATCAAATTAATAATCAAATTAAATAAAAAATTCCAAAAATAATGAATCTCCTATAAATTTATAATAAAATTGTTAAATAAAACCCTGGTTGAATGCTAAAATTTTCAAGTAAAAATTAACAGAACAATCAACAAAAGTAATGAAATGAAAAAATCAATAAAAGTATTAAAATAAAAAAATCAATAAAAGTAATACAGAACTTTTAAAATAGCAAAAAATTGTTCCAACTTTCAACAGATCGATACAGAAAAAAATGAAGCTAAAACTAGCATCTACTTAGTTTTGAAAATTAAATTTTAACGTTAAATATTTTTCAAGAAGCTGTAACTTGCGCCCAGTTATCAACACGCACTTATTTTTTGAAAATTTGATATTGGTTTTAATGAAAAAAATATTTAATTTAAAATTGGAATTTCCAAAAGAAAGTGGGTGATAAGTGAAGGAAATAAGTAAAATTGAATTTTACCGGCGAAAGTGGACTGGGCATAAAGACATGTAGTAAATTATTGAAGATTTGTCCCGGTTTAACGCCCGAGACGCCAGTTTGAATTGCACCGCTCAATGGATGATTAAATGAAAATCCAATTTGCTGCGAAGTATCCAACAGGCAATAATGCAAAAGAAATGTCAAAGCTTCTAGATGCGTCACTGTGTAATCGGCTGGCAAGCAACATTCGACATTAGTTAAATTCTCCATTTTTGTAACAGACACTGCTTCTTCATTAACATAATAAGACGCTAATTGCTCGATATTGCAGCACAATCGATGAATCACTGAAGTGACAATGTGCGTCAATGAAGACCCCATAAATGGAAGACTCGACGTTACAAGTGTCGTCCAATATTGATGCAAATGCCTCATGTGATCCTGTTGAAAAAATGCAAGAAGAAAAAAATTAATTCAATGAATTAATTCTAATTTTATTAAACTATCAATTTATATCAATTGCATTATTTAGTACATAAATTACAATTCAATAATTTACTTAAAATTTATATAAGGAATCCAGGCCTCGGATTGATTTTAACGAGACAAAAAAGTCGCTTTAGTCAATTAAATATAGAAAAAAAAGTCATTTACTTAATTCATTGTTGTCACAAAAAATTTTATTTTGGATTTCCCTGCTTCTTCACAGATTTCTAAACTCAATTAATCAAAACTCGAATAATTTTGCTAAACAAATATTTAAATATTTCTTTTTTCACGGGAAATAAAATTTAAAAAATTTCAACTTTTGAAATTTATTATAATTTCTAAAAAATCTATACCTATTAATTTTTAATAATTTTCCTAAAGTTCTTCGACAATAATTCAATTATTTCAGTACAAAAATTCAATTATTTATAATAATTGAAACTCCATTTTTCTATTTAAAGATATTAAGGTAGAATATTTTCGAAAATGTTAATAAAGAAATTCTTAAATTTTTTTAAAAATATTTCTAAATAATTTTTGAAAAACAATATTTTTACAATTATATACAATTAAAAAATGGCCAAAAAATTGAAATTTAGTAAAATCTTTTAAAAAATTATTGAAATTTGGTAAAATCTATGAAAAATTATTGAAATTTGATCAAATCTTTTCAAAATAATTGAGTTTTTAAAAAATATTTTAAAAATAATCAAATTTTTAAAGAATTTTCATTAAAAATTATTTTTCCAAAATTTTAACAAATCTAAAAAAGTAAATATTAAAAAATTTTAATTTACTTTGTTCGAAGGTAATTGAATCTTAAAAAAATAATAATAAAGTACATGTTCCGGTAATCTGTTCGTAGTTTGAAGTTAGTTGTTGTTTGCTTTTTTGTTTCTTAACTTTTTTATAATTTTTTTTTCAAATATTTTCAATTTTAAAATTAATGTACCTATTGAAAATCATCGAATTGTTGCAAAGAATTTTATCAAAAAATTTGATAATAATAGCATTCCTTCAAAGAATTTTATTATTTAGAAAAATAACTGAATTCTCTCGAAGAATTTTATTAAAATTTGTAAAAATCCTAATTAAATTCTTTTGAAATATTTCTTTGAATTTTTTTTTAAAGTAATGGAGTTTCTTTGATAATTTTAATTGGAAATTTTGAAAGCATTTGAATTTTATGAAGAAGAATTTTATTAAAATTGTATTGAAAATAATTGAATTCTTGCGAAGAATTTTACTATTTATAAAAATAATTGAATTGTTCCAAAGAATTTATTAAAATTTTAGAAAATAAATTAATTTTATATTAATATTTGAAAATTTAAATTCTTTCGAGGAATTCAATTAAAATTGTTTTGAAAATAATTGAATTCCTGCAAAGAATTTTACTATTTATAAAATTAATTGAATTCTTGTTTTGAAAATAATTGAATTCTTGTAAAGGTTTTACTATTTAAAAAAATAATTGAATTGTTTAGGATTTATTAAAGTTTTAGAAAATAATTGAATTCTTTCGTGAAATTTTATTAAAATTTTTGAAAATGTGAACAGTAATAATTAATTTTGTACTTAATAAGTGAATTTTTTAAGTTTTGATTATGAAATTATTTCAAGAATTTATATTTGAAAATAAAAAATTTTGTAATTTGCATAACAATAATAAATTGAATATCACGTTCCGCGCGTATCATTTGCTAGTTATGATAAAAGAATTTGAAGAATTCGTTTTTTATAAATATTGTAATGTAATAATTCGAAAATAACTGAATTTCTAAAAAGAATTTTTGTATAATCTAAAAAAAACTAACTAATTTTTTGAAGAATATTAATTAAAAATTTTGAACATGATTTTTTCTCCAAAATGTTAAAAATAATTCTAAAATGTTATTATTTTATTTATGTATTTGAATTTTTTGAAATATGTAATCGAAAATATTGAAAATAATTCGAAAAAAAGTAATAATATCAGAGGCCTGGGAATCAGAAACTAAAAATTTATTTCCTTTTTCAGGATTGCCACAAAAAATTTAATTTTGTTTTCCTTTTCTCTGATTCCAAACAAAATTATTGACTTTTTCCCTGATCCTTGACTAGAATGTTCCCTTAAAAATTAGGACTGAAATATTTTTAAAATCTATTTTTTTAGAATTTTAAATAAAACGTTTTAATTTTAAATATTTAAACAAAATTTTGAATTTAAATCTTTTTAAAATTATTTAACTTATAGATATTTTAATTCTCTCTCTTTCGAGATTAAGTTATTTTAAATGTTATTTAATGCTGCTTTTACACTAACATATGAAAAATTAAAATGTACATAAAATTTAAATGTAAATTTAATATTTACTTTGTTATAAGAATTGAGTTTTTATAAAGAAAATCAAATTTTTATTCATTTCAAGCTATCAAAAATATTGTCGTTCATATAAACGTTCAAAATATTAGGGACATAAAATTGTCTATAAATGGGGGAAGTTAAAAAATAATATTATGAAAAAGAAAAAAAACTTACCAATTTTAAAGCGCTTATAATACTGGCAAGAAACATTGGTTGTTGTGGAATCGGTGAACCTGTAACGTACTTTAAAGTATTTCCAGTGAGATTATGTGGTACACGTGAAGGAGATGATAAAGTTGTTGGCAAATTCGATGATCCGATTTCTTCTCCCTTTTGTGCGCCAATTTGATGTTCGAGCATTATTAGTGAAAGCATCAATCTGAAATATTTCTTTATTTAAATAAAACTCTACCAAATTCTCTTCTAAAATCCAAACCCATTCTTTTTAGTTGTTAATAGAAATTATTTTAATTTTAAATTAATTTTGTAATTTAATTTTCATTAACTTTTTTAGAATGGAACTTTAATTCAATTTTTTAAAATTTATTTTTAATTTAGTTTTTGTAATCCAATTTTAAATTGTATTTTGCAGAAAATAAATTTTTATTAATTATAAAATTGTGGATTAAGAATTTTGTTTTCATTGACATCAAAAAATGAATGTAGAAACGAAAATTAATAAAATTGACCTTAGTAGTTGCATTTGAAAAGCTTCGGTATGATCGCTGGCTCTGCATTTACATTTATTAACATCGTTTTCAGCTTGTGGATCATTGAAAGCAACAATTTCCTCGGTGAACGTGAAAGCGTCTTCATTGTCCTTTTGGGCGTTCTTCATATTCAACACACTCGAGGCAAGACAATGAAGGGCGACTTTTTGCACTTTACATTTCGTGAGAAGATCTATAATATAACAACTGAATCCCTTGCCAGATTCGCGTGCAATTGGAATCAATTCGGAAAAGATAAGTGTCAAAAGTTCGACACTCGATAATTGAACCTGCAAAGAAAATTTACAATTTTTTATTTACCGAATGATAAAATTATTATTTTATAATATAAGAATATTGTTACTGTAACTTCTTTAAAATTATTTTCATCATTTCAATTCAATTAATTAATCTTTATATTTTTTACTCTTTTTGAAGCAAATTTGAAATAAAAAACAAATATTATCAATTAATTAAAGTAAATGATAATAAATAAGTAACAAATTGATGAATAGTCGCATTTATCTAATTTTAATTAATATTTTCAAGAAATAGAAATATTCATATTAATATTAGTTGTAATTCCAGAAAATTCATACTTGTCTGTTCCCTGAGATTTCCTCCTGAGTGAGACGCATTTGTCCAAGATTTGGATAATAACTTCTCGCGAAGTAAAGGCACACACTTAATAATACTTCCAAATACATGCTACTTCGATAGGCTGCTAAAAATTCTGTATTCGCCACATCGCCATAAAAACTTCGTCCAAATATACTTTTTCGATGTCTCGCAAGAAGATTGAGTAGTGCTGTACTTTTTGTATTATTTGCAATGCCAGTTGTTGCTGCAGCGCACAGAAACATTCTCGCGTTCGTTAACAATTCATTTCTTAATGTACGAAGAGCATAGAGTGTTCTTTCTGAATCGTAAACGCCACAATAAAGCAGCATATGAGAATGGAGATTGTGAACTCCAACACCCGAATTTCGCTTCACGTCCGTATCCAATTGCATCGAATCATCAGACTGAACATTAAAAGAAGAATAATTTTATTAATTTCATTAATTTCATCTTAATAATAAAAGAAAAATGTTTTAAATTTAATTCAACTCTTACTACTTTCATAGTAAAATCTGTAAAACTGGTAAATTGTGAAATTTCTGCGTATTTTTATCAATTTTCAGTTTTACGGTTTACAGAAAAACCGTTATTATAGTTGATAATTAAATTAAAAATTTTTTTTATAAATTAGAATTTTTTTGTATTAAAATTTATCTTTTTATCAAATTGTCCTTTTTGTAAAATAATAATTTTCCTTCATTGTTCAGGAATATCACGCTTTTGTTCATTTCAAATTCCCTGACTTTTCCAGGTTTTCAAGGATAAAAAACAGAATTTTTCCAGGTTTTTAAAACTACATTTATATTTTACAAAATTAAATAATTCCACTAAATTTTTACAAATACATGAAACTTTCATATAATACTGTATTCCGCATTGTTATATTTATCTTTTTTAAATAAATATTTAATTGTTTTTCCATAGGAATTAAAATTCTTCAAAAGATTCAAATTCAAACCTTTTTGAAATTAAACAAATTATAAAAAATTGTTATAAAACATGAAGAAATGGATCACTCCGAGTCTTCGAATCGGAGCAATCGATATCTTTATGTTTTATAATAATTAAAAATGACCGAGTGATAAAATCATTATTTTATATTATAAGAATTTTGTTACTGTAACTTATTCAAAATTACTTTCATCACTTCAATTCAATTATTGTTTTTCAGAATTTTTAACTAAAATTCTTCTTTAAATTAATTATTTTTAGTAATTTTTGAAAAATTTCTTTGAAAATTTTTAAATCCCTTTGTTTACAATTCAATTTTAAGAAATTTCATCGATTATTCGGAAATTCTTCAATCAAATATATATTAGAAAATAAAACTTGAAATATTAAAAAAAATTCAATTAAACTTTTTCAAAAAAATTAAATCTACACAATTTTTAGTTAAAAGTATAAAAATTTCAAACATTCAAAGATTATAATTTGAAACCTTTTCAAAATTCAATTATTTCTAAAAATTCACGCTATAATACTTTCTCTCTAAATTTGAATTAGTAAAAATGTTTACTAATTGGAATTAGTGACTGACTTTCTGCTTTTGAATTAGTCAATTTTACTATTAAATTAGTAGAAATGACTATTTATTAGTAAAATCTGCTAATTCAAAAGCAAAAAAACAGTAACTAATTCAAATTAGAAAACATTTTTACTAATTCAAATTTAGAGAGTATAATATTCAATTATTATCTAAAATTTTAACTGAAATTCATATTTAAATCAATTTTTATTAGAAAATTTTACGAGAATTCAATTATTTAAATATAAAAATAAATAATATATTGAAGAATTGAATGTTTTTTAAAATTGAACTCTCAAAAAAGAATTTTATCATCAAATTTTTAAATAGGTAATTAAAATTCTTTTGATGAATTTCAATAAAATTTTTAAGAATAATTTCATTTTTCGAGCAATCATATTAAAATTGTACTAAAAATAATTGAATCTTTGTAAAAAATTTGATTGAATTGAGAAAATTTTTTGAAAATAATTGAAATTTTGACAAGAATTTTATTAAAAGTTTTGAAAATAATTGAATTTTTCGAGGAATTTAATTGGAATTGTATTAAAATTAATTGAAATTCTAGGATGAGTTTATTTATTATTTGTGGAAATAATTGAATTTTAAAAAAGAATTTTATTATTTACGAAAATAATAGAATCCCTGTAGAAATTTTATTTTTTTTTTTAATAATTGAATTATTGCGAAGAAATTTATAAAAAATTTGTAAATAATTGATTTCCTGTGAAATTTTTATTATTTTTGAAAATAATGAAATGTTTGCGTTGAATTTTATTAAAAAATTTTCGAAATAACTGAATTATTTTGGAAAATCTTATTAAAATAGTAAATATTTAATATCATTGAATTGAAGAAAATTTTTGAAATTAATTAAAATTTTGCCAAGAATTTTATTAAAACTTTTGAAAATAATTGAATTTTGGAAAAGAATTTTATTATTTATGAAAATAATTGAAATTTTGAAGAGAATTTTTTTTAAACTTTTGACTATAATTGAATTTTTTGCGAAGAATTTTCTTACTTTTGAAAATAATTGTATTCTTCTTTTTAAATAGGTACCTAATTGAATTCTTTTGTGAAATTTTATTGAAATAGTAGATATTGAAAATAATTGAGTTTTGATAAATTATTGAAATTAATTAAATTACTACAAAGAATTTTATTAAAATTATTTTGAAAAAAAAATTGAATTGTTAAAAAGAATTTCATTAAAAGTTTTGAAAATATTTTAATTATTTTATGAAATTTAATTAAAAATGTATTCACAATAATACTTAAATTCTAATAAATAAATTATTGGAAGGCTTTTTAAAATAATTAAATTTCTTAGATATGATGAATTTTAATAAAGTTTTTAAGAATAATTCCATTTTTCGAGAAATTTCATTAAAATTGTATTTAAAATAATTGAAATTCTGCGATGAGTTATTTATTATTATTTATTATTTAATTCATTCATTCAAAATTGAAATTTTACAGAATTTCAAATTAAAACCTTTTGAAGTTTATCTATTTATGAAAATTGTAAACGCAACTCTTTTAAAATTGAATTACTTTTTAAATATTTAAGAAAAATTAGATTTCAAGGATAAGCACAATAACTTTAGAAAACAATAATTTTTCAGGATTCTGATCAAAATTTTCTGACTTTTCCAGGTTTTCCAGGTTGCGTCGCAACCCTGTTGTTGTTATAAGAATAATAAAATAAATTTTTCTATTCTTTTCAAATTAAAAACTCACAATTTTAGCAGGTTCGGAATCGTCGCAAATCATCATAACTCGATCCATGACTTCATTTAGAACATCTTCAACAACACTGACTGCACTCCAATTACTGAAGTAATCTTCGGCCGTTGTGCTCGCCTCCAATTCACCCTCATCGTCACCCATTGTCCAACTTGGAATTTCACTTGTTGCTTCAAAACTCCCAACATCATTCATATCGTAGCCACTAAATTCACTCGATGTATTTTGATATTTTCCCTTTAAAATCGTACCAGCGATTTCTTTATCACTACCGGGAATAATCATCATTTTATTATTGTTTTTCGTCTGCTTCGCCACAACTTCTGGACTACTCGATTCAAAACTATTTGCCAACGAATCCAATGACGAACCAATATCGCCATTACATTTTTTTAATTCACTTTTTCCCCTCATTTTTGAATTTGAATTTGCCGTATCAAATAGACTCTCATCTAAACTTCCAGTTGAGCCTTTATTGAATTTTGGTTTTCTAAAGCGTTTCGCGTGCTTCAATAAATCAGAAGTTGGGGCATTTATTTTTTTCGCGGCAACAATTGAATCGTCTTCTTCTAATGACTCATTGGAATTTTCAGTTCCATTCAATGATAATGGATTGACAAAAACTGAGATACGTCGATTACCGGCAATACTGGAGGGAACTTCGAGTTCCTTCATTGTTTCATTACGCTCGGTTATGTAACGATGTCCATTTTCGCCTGATGTTAATGTTGTAACGGCGAAAATTCTCTTCACTTTCACTGGATTAATGCTCTTTTTTTTCTTCTTTCCCTTGCGGGATTTTTTGTCCTCTTCGGAATTATTGCTCACGTGATAAATGACATTTCCATCAACTGAGCTGATTGCGTAAATATTCGTCGCTGCCTCGGTGTCGTCGTGTAATTCGGATTTTTCCTCAATTGGATCGCTTTTCGTTAGGACAATATTGCTGTGCTGAATGCTGACATGAAGAACGCTCATTCGACACGTTAGGGGGTCGAGAAGCATCATGAGAACTGGCGTCACAACACGTGATATGTCGCCTCTCACTAAACTGTGAAGAAGCCACGATTGCGATTGAAGTTTTAGAGGCGAATTATCGGCCAATTGTAAATTGTCCAGCATTTTCAGGAGAGACTTGTCGAATGTTCGTAGGCAACCACGGAGACGGGGATTCGTCTCGATTTCACGTCCAAGATGCCACAGCATTGAGAATCTGTTGCATAAATCAAATTTTTCATTATACTTGCAGATACATTTTTTCACTTAGAATTAATTTTTAGAATCTAACATTAATCTGATGGAAACAGGGCTCGAACCAGTGAAAGTATTTAAAAATACGGACTTTACGGACTAAAAATGAAAAATTACATACCAATTACTTACAAAAATATAACCATTCCAAGTCAAATAAGAGAACATTTTACTTAAAACTATAAATTAAATTTTTCAAAACTATAAAACATAAAGATGTTTTATAGTAGATAAAAATGAAGAACTGATAAAATCATTATGTTATATTATAGGAATATTGTTACTCTAATTTCTTAAAAATTACTTTCATCACTTCAATTCAATTATTGTTTTCCAGAATTTGACCTTTTCTTTTAAAATACGAAATTATGACATTAAAGATTAAACTAACTTTTGTTCCGATTCAGGGTTGCCACAAATATTTAATTTTATTTTTCCCTGAATTTTCCCTGATTTCAGACAAAATTTTCACTTTTTCCCTGACCATAAAGAATATTCTGATTCACTCTAAAAATTATTAGATACTCAAAAAAACATTCTATTACATTTGCTTACGAATTTCTTAAGTTGTAAAATTATTCGCAAACATCAATAACTAAATTTTTAAATAAGTATTTAATTATTATTTTTCCATAGGAATTAAAATTCTTCAAAACATTCAAATTCAAAAACCTTTAAAATTAAACAACTTAAAAGAATATTATTATAAAACATGAAGATATTAATTACTCCGAGTCTTCGACTCGGAGTGATTGATATCTTCATGTTTTATAAAAATTTTAATTTCCATAAAATTTTTCAAAAAAAAAAATTAAATTATTTACAAAAATTATAATACAAAAATTTTAATTTCCATAAAATTTTTCAAAAAAAAAAAATTAAATTATTTACAAAAATTATAATAAAATTCTAAGCAAGAATTCCATTATTTTCATAAATTATAAAAATTTTTCTGAGGATTTTAATTATTTATTAATACAATTTAAAGTAAATTTCTAAAAAAATGAAATTATTTTCTTAAATTTTTTGTAAGAATTTAATTACATTTCACGAATATAATGAAATTCTTCGTTGAAATTCAAATATTTTCACAATCTACTTTTTTAATAAAAGTTCTCAAAAGAATTCAATTATTTAAAAAAATGTAATAAAATGCGATGCAGGAATTCAATTATTTTCATAAATAATAAGATTCTTTACATTATTTCAATTATTTTTTAAAAAATTGGAAAAAATTCATTGCAAGAATTAAATTACTTTCATAAATTAATAAAATTTTTCACAGGATTTTAATTATTTTTAATACAATTTTAAGTAAATTCTTCGAAAAATGTAACTATTTTCAAAAATTTTGTTAAAATTCTTCGAAAGAATTCAATTATGTATTTTTAAAAATTCATGCTATAATGCTTTTAATATTCAATTATTATCTAAAATTTTAACTAATATTCATTTTTAAATTAATTTTTATTGGAAAATTCTACAAGAATTCAATTATTTAAATACAAAAATAAATAATTTATTGAATAAATGAATGTTTTTGAAACTAAATTATCATAAAGAATTTTATCAACAAATTTGAATTTTTCCGAGAAATTTTAATAAAATTTTCAAGAATAATTAAATTTTTCGAAGAATTCAATAAAAATTGTATTAAAAATAATTGAAATTGTATGATAAATTTTATTATTCATGAAAATAATTGGATTTTTGTAAAAAATTTTATTATTTATGAAAATAATTGAATTATTGCAAAGTTTGCTTAGAATTTTAGCAAAAATTTTTTTTTTAAATAATTGAATTCGTTTGAAAAATTTTATTAAAGCTGTAGATATCATTGAATTGAGAACAATTTTTTGAAAATAATTGAAATTTTGCAAAGAATTTTATTAAAATTTTTGAAAATAATTGAAATTTTGAGAAGAATTTAATTATTTTTAAAGATAATTGAATTTTGACGAGAATTTTTTTTAATTTTTGAACATAATTAAATTTTTGCGAAGAATTTTATTACTTTTGAAAATAATTGAATTTCTGCAATCATTTGTAACTTCTCCAAAATTCAATTTTATCCAGTTACTTTAATAAAAATCCCCGACTTTTCCCTGATTTCCGTGACCTGTGGCAACCCTGTAATTACCTAAATTCTTTTGAAGAATTTTTTCAAATTTTTTTAAAATAATGGTTTCTTTAATAATTTTAATTGAAAATTTCGATCAAGTAATTGAATTTTATGAACAATTTCTTTTAAGTTTTTAAAATAATCGTGTTTATTAATAATTTCAATCAAACATTTAATTATTAAATTTTATTAAAATTTTAAAAAATAATCTAATTCTTTTGAACAATCTTATAACGAATAAAAAAAATTGAATTCTTTCGTGAAATTTTTTTTGAAAACATTAATTGAATTTTTGAAAAGAATTTTACTATTTATAAATAAAATTGAATTGTTTAGAAGGATTTATTAGTTAAATAATTTAATTTTTTTTAAGTTTGAATCTGAAATTATTCAAAAATTCATATTTGAAAATAAAAAATTTTGTAATTTGCATAATAATAAATTGAACATCACGTTCGGCGCGCTAGCGCGCGTAACATTTGCTAGTTTTTAGTAATTTTCCAAAAAGTTCTTTGACAATTTTCAAATCCATTAGTTTACAATATTCAATTTCACGAAATTTTAATTATTCCTAAATTCTTCAATTAAATGTATAATTAGGGGTCGTCCATATACCACGTGGACAGTTTAGGGGGGAGGGGGGGTTCGCCAAAAATCCACGATTTTCCACGAGGGGGGAGGGGGGGGTCAATACAAATGTCCACGTGGACACAAAAGTTTAATTTTATATCTTTTTTTTCTTTATATTCAACTTTATTATTAGATTATTATTAGATTGTGATCAGACAATATTTGTAATCCGAAATTTATTTAACTGTCAAAAAAACGCCAAATTCTTTTTTAATTTATATTACAAAATCATTATCGTAAATGCACAAATATGAATATATGCAAATTTGACAATTAAGAATACAAAGCAACCTCTACAAACTCTTACAAATTCTAAAAAAAATAATTTCTATTATTGTTTATGTGAAGGCTCAAAGCTATGGATTTTAGAAAATTTTTAGATTTGTTACAGAAGAGATTAAGTATTTCTACTAATATAATAATTGAAGATATATTGCTGCCAAAGTCCTCTCTATAATACTAAAAATGGTATTTACCTATTTAATAATATTTTAAGATAATTTAATCTTTATTGAATTTTAAAGAAGCTTGTTATAAAAAAATTTAAAGAATTTTTTAATTGTATTTCTTATTAAATATCTTTTTATTATTCACTATTTTAAAATAAAAAACCCGATTGTCCACGTGGACAATCAGGGGGGGAGGGAGGGGTTTGTCAAAAATCCACGATTGTCCACGAGGGGGGGAGGGGGGGGTCAAAAAGTGTCTAAAAAGTGTCCACGTGGTATATGGACGACCCCTTAGAAAATTCATTTTTAAATCAATTTTTATTAGAAAACTCAACGAGAATTCAATTATTTCAATACAAAAGTAAATAATTTATTGAATAATTGAATGTTTCTTAAAATTGAATTCTCATAAAGAATTTTATCAACAAATTTTTAAATAATTGAATTACTTTTTTCAAGGAATTCAATTAAAATTCTATGAAAAATAATTGAAATTCTGCGATAAGTTTTGTAATGTTTTTAACTAAAATTCTTCTATAAATTCATTATTTTAAACAATTTTTGAAAAAGTCCTTTGAGAATTTTCAAATTAATTTGTTTACAATTCAATTTTATAAAATTTCAATTATTCGGAAATTCTTCAATTCAATATATATTAGAAAATAAAAACTTGAAATAATTTCAAAAACAAATTCAACTAAACTTTTTCAAAAGAATTAATTCTATCTATAGAATTGCTTGTTAAAAATATTAAAAATTAAGAATTTCAATGATTTTAATTTGAAAACTTTTAAAAAATAAATTATTTCTAAACATCCAAATTATAATGCTTTTAATATTTAATTATACCTATAAGTAATAATTTTTTTATATATTATAATTCTTGATTTTAAGGAAGAATCTGATGTACAGTCAAAACAAAAGTTAGTCCAATGTCATAATTTCGTAATTTAAAAGAAAAAGACAAATTAAATTTTAAATTCGTTTTGGTGAAAAGGCGAAGAATTTAATTTTGAACTTTTAAATCGATTGAAAGTTGCATTTGAATAAAAATTACAATTTTCTGTCAATAAGAAACATTTATTAAATTTTAGGTTATGATACTTAAATAATTTATTATTGACAAAAAAGTATAATTTGTATTCAAATATAACTTTAAATTATTCAAAATGTAGAAAATTAAATTCCTTACGCTTCTACCGAAAGGAATTTAAAATTTAATGTGAACTTTTCTTTTAAAATACGAAATTATGACATTGAACTAACTTTTTTTCCGATTGTTTGTCGGATTTTTCGTTAAAGGATAAAAATCGTAAAAAAGAAACAAATTCTCACCTATCGAAGGCTTCAATTCTCTTCTCAACATTATCGTTCATTAGCGCCGATCCAATTACATCCTCCACAGCATCGCACGATTTCTCCAAAGTATGATGCAATTCATGCATCAATTCAACGCATCGAATTCGATATTTATGCGCCGGCAATTCGCCCAAATGATGCCAGAGCGAATGTGCGAGTACTTGAAAAACATTCGTATACTGCTCGAGATAGGAAATGTGCCATTTCTTCAATAACGGCAACATCACAACCGAAGTGACACCCTCGCCAGAATGTTGATTTGGATTGAATTCCCCGTGCGCCTTCGACAAAGCGATCAGATCCAAAAGAGTTGCAATACTCGTCATTTGCAATGCAGGTTGCTTACTCAGCCAACATGAGCAAACAACGAGAACCTTCAGCCAATCGGGCAAATGATTTTTACCCTGTGGCTCGTCCTCCGTGAGTAATCCATCGCCAGTTAAATAATAAGTAGGAAACGTTGACAACTCAACGAAAAGACTGCAACCAATTTTCAAAACTTCCTCCCACGTTATCGACGCAATCGATTCTAAGTTAAGTGAGAGAATATCCGATCTCTTCACATCATCCTCCAGGGTATTTTGATCATGACTGAAGTAACCCGAATCTTGATGGCTAATTTTCGAATTTAGTAGCGACTCAAGTAATCTTGTTTTCTCCTGAAAATTGTCCTTGAAGCAGACAACTTTTAAATCGTCGAACATTTCAAATACTGAACGTTCACGATTAATAATTCTCGTCACGATTAGTTTAACGTAAAATTGCTCATACTGACGGAGACATTTTTCCAACATTGAATGTTGAGCCCTGAGTCCCGGCGATGGTCCCCTATTTATTGAACCATTCGAACCCATTGAATTATTTTTTGATAAATTTTGATTTTCAATTTCGATAAATTCAGTTTTTAAATTTTCCATACTCTTATTACGTGGCAATGCTTTATCATCGTCGGAAACAATAACGGAAATATTATCATCAAGTTTTGATGAACTCTTGCTTCCCTTTTTCTTCGATTTCTTCTCCTGCTTCTTAGTCGCTCCACTTGAATTTGCCCTTCGTCTTGGACTTGGACTACGATCAAGATTACCATTTGTTTCGGCTTTATTTAATTTACTGTCCGATTGACTTTTCTCGAGGGGAATTGCTGTCAGGGTATTGTCATTTGACACTGAGACGGAAATATTAATTGATTCGGATTTTGTTTCTGTGTCGCGCTTCTCTAAATGTTGTGATGATGATGATGAACCAGTTTCGGTGAGTTGAACTTTTGAGAGAATTTTTGCACAAAGACTGAGACTTTTTTCAATTTCAGTTGGTGATAGAATGTCAACGTGACGAATGAGATTAATGATAATGTCGTGAAATAATTTTGGTAAATGTTCAGATGGCGCATCGATGAATGTGTCGAGGGAAACGGTGTCGAGGAGAAATTCCATAAGAGTACATATTTCCATTAAACCGGGTATTCCACTGCCAACGGATTTTACACTTAAATCGTCAAATTCACGATTGTTTATTCGTAATTTACACGATTTTTCATAAAGTACACCGCAATGCGTCCAAACGTACGATGGTTCGAGTGTTGAAAATAAAAGATTCGCTGATTTCACTACTTCGTTGGATTTCTGAATTTTGTCGCCCTGATCGCAGGCATTGTAAAATGTCCTTTAACAGAAAAAAAACTTTAATAAGTAAAATATTCACAAAATTTTTATTTTAAATTTAGTTCAAATTTCAATTTTTTCTATTTAAATTCAGTTCTTTAAAATTTTTTTTAATTTAAATTAAGTACTTTCAGGGTTGCCACGCTTTTGCTCATTTCAAATTCTCTGACTTTTACAGGTTATCCAGGTTAAAAAACGGAATTACATATTTATATTTTACTAAATTAAATAATTAGTCATTATAATTTCTCGATAAGAATTAAGATTTTTAAAATTTTCAAATTTAAACCTTTTTGAAATTAAACAACTTATAAAAAATTGTTATAAAACATGCAGAAATCGATCACTCCGAGTCTTCGACTCAGAACAATCTATGTCTTCATGTTTTATAATAATTAAAAATGACCGACTGATAAAATCATTATTTTATAATTATAAGAATATTATTACTGTAACTTATTCAAAATTACTTTCATCACTTCAATTCAATTATTGTTTTTCAGAATTTTTAACTAAAATTCTTCTTTAAATTAATTATTTTTAATCATTTTTAAAAAATTTCTTTGAAAATTTTAAAATCCTTTTGTTTACAATTCAATTTTACGAAATTTTATCGATTATTCGAAAATTCTTCAATCAAATATATATAAGAAAATAAATCTTGAAATAATTAAAAAAAATTCAATTAAACTTTTTCAAAAAAATTAAATCTACACAATTTTTAGTCAAAATTATGAAAAACTCAAACATTCAAAGATTATAATTTGAAACCTTTTCAAAATTCAATTATTTTCAAAAATTCACGCTATATACTTTCCCTAAATTTGAATTAGTAAAAATTTTTACTAATTGGAATTAGTGACTGACTTTATGCTTTTGAATTAGTAAATTTTACTATTAAATTAGTAGAAATGACTATTTATTAGTAAAATCTGCTAATTCAAAAGCAAAAAATCAGTCACCAATTCAAATTAGAAAACATTTTTACTAATTCAAATGTAAAGAGTATAATATTCAATTATTATCTAAAATTTTAACTGAAATTCATATTTAAATAAATTTTTATTAGAAAATTCTACGAGAATTCAATTATCTAAATACAAAAATAAATAATTTATTAAAAAATTTAATGTTTTTTAAAATTGAACTCTCATAAAGAATTTCATTAACAAATTTTTAAATAGATAATTAAAATTCTTTTGACAAATTTCAATAAGATTTTTAAGAATAATTTTATTTTTCGACAAATTAGATTAAAATTGTATTTAAAATAATTAAATATCTGTAAAAAATTTGATTAAATTGAGAAAAGTTTTTGAAAATAATTGAAATTTTGCCAAGAATTTTATTAAAATTTTTGAAAATTATTAAATTTTGGAGAAAAATTTTATTATTCATAAAGATAATTGAAATTTTGAAGAGAATTTTTTTTATCCTTTGACCATAATTTCTGCGAAGGATTTCATTACTTTTGAAAATAATTGAATTCTTATTAAGACGAATTTTAATATTTTTTTAAACAGAATTGTTAGTTAAAAATGTAAAAAATTCTGATTTTCAAATCTTTTAATTTAAAACATTTTTAAAATTCAATTATTTTTAAAAATTCACGCTCTAATGCTTTTAATATTCAATTATAATCAAAAATTTTAACTGAAATTCTTTTTTAAATCAATTTTTTTTAGAAAATGTTACTAGAATTCAATTATTTAAATACAAAAATAAATAATTTATTGAAATTTTGAATGCTTCTTAAAACTAAATTCTCATAAAGAATTTTATCAATAAATTTTTAAATGATTGAATTCTTTTGACGAATTTTAATAAAATTTTTAAGAATAACTACATTTTTCGAGGAATTCGATTGAAATATTGTATTAAAAATTATTGAAGTTCTTACATGAGTTTATTTATTATTTGTCAAAATAGTTGAATTTCTAAGAAGAATTATAGTACTTACGAAAATAATTGAATTTCTGTAAACATTTGATTATTTATGAAAATAATTGAATTATTGAGAAGAAATTTATAAATAATTGATTTCCTGTGAAATTTTTATTATTTATGAAAATAATGAAATGTTTGCGTTAAATTTTATTAAAATTTTTTCGAAATAACTGCATTCTTTTGGAAAATATTATTAAAATAGTAAATATTGAATATCATTGAATTGAGAAAAGTTTTTGAAAATAATTTAAATTTGGCCAAGGATTCTATTAAAATTTTTGAAAATAATTGAATTTTGGAGAAAAATTTTATTTTTTACAAAGATAATTGGAATTTTAAAGAGAATTTTTTTTCTTTTGACCATAATTGAATCTTTGTGAAGAATTTTATTACTTTTGAAAATAATTGAATTCTTATTGAGACAAATTTTAATATTTCTTTTTAAATAATTCAATTTTTTTATGAAATTTCATTGAAATAGTAGGTATTGAAAATAATTGAATTTTGATAAATTGATAAAATTAATGAAATTTCTACGTAGAATTTTATTAAAATTATTTTGAAGAAAAATTGAATTGTTAAAAAGAATTTCATTAAAATTTTTGAAAATAATTTAATTCTTTCAAGAAATTTAATTAAAAATGTATTGACAATAATACTTGAATTCTAATAAATAAATTATAGAAAGGCTTTTTAAAATAATTGAATTCCTTTGATAAATTTTAATAAAATTTTTAAGAATAATTAAATTTTTTGAGAAATTTAATTAAAATTTAATTAAAAATAATTGAAATTCTGCAATGAGTTTTATTATTTATGAAAATAATTGAATCTCTTTAAAAAATTGGATTATTTATGAAAATAATTGGATTATTTATGAAAATAATTGAATTATTGCGAAGAGATTTATAAAGAATTTGTAATTAATAGAATTCCTGTGAAATTTTTCTTATTTAATTAATTCATTCAAAATAGAAATTTTACAAAATTGCAAATTAAAACCTTTTGAAGTTTATCTATTTATGAAAATATTGTAAGCGCAACTCTTTTAAAATTGAATTAATTTTGAAAAATTTAAGAAAAACTAGATTTCAAGAATAAGCACAAGAACTTTAGAAAACAATAATTTTCCAGGATTCCGATCAAAATTCCCTGACTTTTCCAAGTTTTTTCAAGGTTTATAAAATTCCCTGACATTTCCAGGTTTTCCAGGTTGCGTGACAACCCTGACTTTAAAATATTTTTAAATTTAAATTCATTATTTTACAATTTTTGGTATTTTAAATTTAGATTCTCACCTAAAAATTTCGTAGAGAATGTCATCAAGAATAACAGGACCAATGTCTGCTTTGTCCAATAATGAAATGAGAATTCTATATGGTTTCAACTCCTGCGGCGTTTCCTCGCATATTGTCTTTAGCATCGATTTTATAGCATCGATTAGCATTCCTTTTGAATATAATTCGAAGTAAGCTGCCGAAGTTTCAGTGGCAATGGGATCGGCTTTTTTCTTAAGTATCGATGTGTTCACTTCACTTCCCAAAAGCCATGCGAACAACCGTCTGTTGGAAAAAAAAGTTTTTGTAAAAAATCAACAAATTCAAAAGCTTAAGAATAGAAAGTAATAAATTTTTAAAGTAAATAGTAAAAATTCGGTAAGAAAAAAATAGTTAATAAAATTTTTTAAATCAGTCAAAAATTAATAAGCAAGTAAAAAATCAAATAAAAGAAAATTAAATAGATAGAACAATGTTTCAGAAGTTTTTAAAAACAATTGAATTCTTTCGACAAATTTTATAAAAGTTATAGGGTAACTGCACCAATTGCCGAGGGTGCTCCAATTGTCGAGGATAATAATTTTCTTTTTTAGATAAATAGTATAATATATAATATTTAAGAACAAAAAAAATTTCTAAATAATCTTTGTATTTTCAACTGTATATTTATATATACAAATTTCGTAGCGATTCTACTAAAATAATTATTTAATTAATATTATAATTCACTGCTGTGAAATTTACACGAATCTCCATTTTCTTAATACTTCAGGTTGATTAAAACAGATTTTTAGAAATGCAAATTAAACGTATTTATAATGACTTTTTGTGTACAAAATTATTATTATAATTTTGTACACGAACTAAATTAATTTTGTATGCATGTTTTTTTGTTAAAAAAAATATTTAATATTTTTTAAAAGCAAATCATCGGTATTTGGTTCCTTTTTTTTTGACAGTTCCATTTTTCGAGGTAATGACTCGAAAATTGGTGTAGTCACTTTTTTCGCTGATGCACAATTTATCGATGGTTAAGTGTTTATTTACTAAACGTCAAACATAAATGCCAAACATTTATAGGTACAGAGAAAAAGAAAAAAAATGCTCCAAAAATTTACAACCAACAGAAAATAATCAACAAAAAAACGAGGAAGACCGAAAAAAAATTAATAAAAAAATGCATTATTTAAAACTAAAAAATTTTGTACTATAGTTTAATTATAATTAACCATTATATTTACAGTTCGTAGGTAATAAAAGTTTATTTTATTCGTTTACAAATTTAATGTGACTTAAATTAATTTATTTTTTCAATTAATGTCTGATTAACAAAATTGATTAAATTTAATTAACTTATATTTATAAAAGTTTAAAAAACAGTTAAATAATTTTCTGTCCTGTATCATCTACTATAAAAATGTTTTATATCGATATTATAAATTATTCAATTATAGCTAAATAAATATATTTGTTTTCTGGTAATGTTCTATAATATTTTTATCGAAAAAATAAATATCTACTCGATTTTCTAATATCTGTACAGGTTAATTGTTAGGTTATATTGGGTTATATGTTTAAAAATGTCATACCCTCGACAATTGGAACAGACCCTCGAGAAATTAGCACAAGACCATCGACAAATGGTGCTTTTGCTCGATTGACTTTTAAATATATTTTTTGCTTAACAATTTAGTTTATATTAAAAAAATAAATATGAATATTAAACATTATTAGATCCTTCGTCCAAATATACAAAAATCAAATTTTAAAGTGCATTTACTTCCGAGAAAAAAAATGTCAAAGTCACATGTTGCCTAAAACCCTCGACAATTGGTACAGTTACCCTACCTATTAAAAATAATTTTAATTTCTGCGAAGAATTTTATTATTTATAAAAATAATTGAATTCTTGAGAAGAATTTTATTAAAATTTTTTTAAATAATTAAATATAGTTTTGAAGGATTTCTGTGAAGAATTTAATTAAAATTTCAAAAAATAATTGAATTCCAGCGAAAAATTTTATCAAAATTCAAAAAAAAAAAATTTTTTTTTGTTATTTTATTAAAATTGTATCTTAAATAAGTTAATGAATTATCATTCCAATTTTTGAAAATAATAAACAATAATAATTAATTAGCAAATAAGTGTATTTTGTTTTAATTTTGAATCTGAAATTATTTAAAAATGGAAATTGATATTTAAAAATAAAAAATACTGTAATTTGCATGATAATAATAAATGTTATTATGCACTTTTCTGCGCGTATTATTTGCTGGTACAATAAATAAAATATAAAAATTGAAAAACAAAATGAATGAGAAAATATTTATGAAAATGAAATTTGTTCATTAATAGAAATTAGAATTCTTTTTTAAGCAAAAGAATTGTTTACCTATTTAAACTCATGTCTCTTCGCAAAATTGTGACTAATGCTGATGTTAACAATGAAACCATATCATCCCGACATAGTTGACTATTGTGAACAGGAAATCCGACTAGTAATAAATCTAAAGCGCTTCTCTGGACCAAAACAGAACTGTCTTGCACTCCCGCACAAATAGCTGTAATCTTGAGAGAAAAAAAATTAATCATTTTTTAATATGATAAATTCCATAATCCTCCAAAATCGTAAAGGAAAATTTCAAGTATTTTTATTTCAATTTTTTTAATAAGAAAATAATAAAGAGAGTAATTAAATTTCTTTCTAAAATTTACTGGAAAAATGTCAATAAATCAATTCCGAAACACGTTAAAATTTTAATTACATAATAATAATTTTCTGTTAATACAGTAAAAAAAAGTAAATACAGTAAACATTAAAATTTAAAAAAAAATTATAAATAAAATATAGAAAGATTATTTTCATTTTCTGTAAATTCGCCGATTGTCAAGAAACAAATAAAGAAGAACAATAATAATAAAATAAAAAATTGAATATTAATTATTCATTCTTGTAACATCATTATGAATTATTACACTTTTATTTATCAGCTAAAAGTGTAATAAAATTTCTAAAAAGTGAATTCATTAGAAAAATATTTTGAAGTATAAAAGAAATAATGAAATTGTAAAAATTTATTATATGGATTTGAAAAAAAAATATGAAGAAAGTGAGTCAATTTATCAGGTTTATTGACTTTCAATGATTAAATATATATATATATATATATATCAAGAAGACTAGAGACTGTATATATATATATATATATATATATATATATATGAATGCTAACTTGTAGTAGATAAGCTCGGGAACTTGACAGTCAAAGAAAGATAACAGAGAGACTTGAAGTAATTGATAAAGAAAAAAGTAAAGACAAATACATAAGACAATGAATATTTTTTCGAAACCTTTTTTTTATGATTATGTGTATATGTAAGAAATTTCTTCATCATACCATTATGTCGACTTTTGTTCCCATAATATAAAGTTGTTCTTCCATTGGCAGTTTTTTATTGAAGTGTGATAATACGAATAAAATAGCGGGTAAACGAATTCCCGAATTTGACGCTAAACAATCCCATAAACATGCGTAAAAATGTTCGGCGCCAACTCCGTCACACACTTTTTCTAATAGAGAATTAGTCCTGGATAGTGAAAAAAGAAAAAACAAATTAAAACTCTTTTTGTCTTCAAGTTTCTTAAATGTTACTTTTTTTTCTTTAATATCTTAACTATTTCAGAATTTTACCTATTTTTATATTTTAATGAAGTATTTCAACCATTCTAGTATTTTAACTGGTTCATTTTAGTATTTTAACCAAATCAGTATTTTAAACAATAATTTTAGTATTTTGACTAATTATTTAAGTATTTTAACTAATTCAACTATTTTAGTATTATAACTATTTCCCTTTCTATTTTCTATTCTTTATTGAATATTTTTTTCTATGAATTTATTAAAAATATTCCAACACGTTTGAAATTGTTAATAGCAAATTTTTTTATTTCTCGCAATTATTTTCGGAATATATTTTCAATTTTATATTTACTTCAATTTTGATCTTTATCAAGGTGGTCACAATTTTCAATTTATCAATTTCCCTGACAATTTACTGACATTAAAATTATCTTCCCTGGCAAAATTCTTTTTACAGCAAAATTTGAAAGTTTACGGACAATGAGTAAAATTTATGAAATTTAATAATTTCTAAAAATTACAACTATAACCTTTCCTGAATTCAATTATTTTCTATAATTTTCAACTAAATAGTGAACTAAACTTCATCTTTAAATCAATTATTTAAAATAATTTCCCGAAAGTTCTTCTAGAATTCAATTATTTAAATACAAAAACTCAATTTTTTATAATAATTGAACTGTCAATGTTTTTTTCTTCAGTTTATTTAAGGTATAATATTTTCAAAAACTAAAAATAATCAAATTTTTGAAAAATTTTAATTGTAAATATGAATATGATTTCTCCGAAATTTTAATAAGTCCAAAAAAGTACATTTTTATTTGCTTTATTCGAAGATAATTAAATCTTAAAAAATGATGATAAAAAAATTCTAAGAATTAAGTAAGTAGTTTTTAAAAATATTTTAATGTGATTTTTCGAAAACAATATTGAATACATTTTAAAAGAGTTTTTGTATTATTTAGAAAGACTAGTTAATTTTTTGATGAATTTTAATGAAATTTTTTAAATATGTTTTTTTTTCTCCAAAATGTTAAAAATAATTCAGAAATGTTATTATTTTTTTGTATGTATTTGAACTTTAAAAATCTAAATGAATTACATTTAATAGTAAAAAATATGATATTTTCTTGCAATATTTTGGAAGAAAAGTCGAAAAATTGCAATCTTTGAAAATAAGTCGAAAAAAATCTCAATTTTCTAAATTTCCCTGACAAAAAATTAGTTTTCCTGACATTTCCCTGACTTCACTGACGAAAATTTTGTTTTACTGACATTTCCCTGACTTTATTGACTTTACTGACATGTGGCCACCCTGTCAATTATTTTTAATAATTTTTGTAAAAGTTCTTAGAGAATTTTCAAATCCATTTGTTTACAATTCAATTTTACGAAATTTCGATTATTATTCGAGTGATAAAATCATTCATATTTATATTATAATAGAATTAATTAAATATTTATTAGAAAATAAAACCTTTAAATAATTTCAAAAAAATTCAATTTAACTTTTTCAAAGATATTAATTCTACAGAATTGTTAGTTAAAACTTTGAAAAATTAAAATTTTCAAAGATTTGAAACCATTTTAAAATTCAATTATTTCTGAAAATTCACGCTATAATGCTTTTAATATTCAATTATTATCTAAATAATTTAGTTTCTTAAAATAATTTTTGTATAATTTAAAAAAACTAATTAATTTTTTGATGAATTTTAATTAAAAATTTTGAATATATGTTTTTTTCTCCAAAAGGTTAAAAATAATTTTAAATTGTTATTATTTTTTGTATGTATTTGAATTATTCAGAAATATGTAATTAGAAGCTAATTTTTATTAATTTTCATTTTTAAGTTTTCTATTTGAAGATTTTTCATTAAAATTTTTGATAATTCAATTATTTTCAAAATTTGCAATTGAAATTCTTCAAAAGTTGATTTTTAAAAATTGTAACAAAACACTTGAGAAAAATGAATTATTTTTAATTAAATTTTTGCAAAAATTTCAATTATTTAAACAAATTTTGTTGCAATATTTGAAAAAAAGTCTAAAAAGTCGCAATTTTTGAAAATAAGTCGAAAGAAGTCTCAATTTTCTTCATTTCCCTGACCAAAGATTTTTTTCCTGTCATTTCCCTGACTTTACTGACTTTACTGACAGGTATCCACCCTGTTTTATTTATTGGGAATTATGTATTTTCTTTTTACCTATCAAAATGATCGGAACCTTCCTCCAAACCAGGAAGAACTCCACTGAGAAAACCACTTAGTCCTGGTCTCAATCTTTCGCCGAGGGGCACAAAATGAGTTTCGTAAACGGTTAACAATGAAGGTCTCACATTCATAGCCGCATTGCCGAGTAATGGAAAAAGTCCTGCGATTAAACAAAAAATTATTTTCAATTAATTATTATACAACAACTAATAATAAATCATATTTACAAATAAATCATTTTTTGCGATTTAATTCATTATATACGCATCGCCGAGTAATGAAAAAATTCCTGTTAATTAAAAAAATTATTTTCATTTAAATATATTTGAAATAATAAATCATATTAATGAATAAAACCTTTTTTGCGAAATTCATTATGTACTGTAATATAAATAATAAAAAAATCGTCTAATAAATATATAAAACAAAAAGGGTGAAAAATTGGGATCTCTGGAATTTTTTTAGACTCACCAGCACTGTAAATAAATAGCTCATGACTGAGTCTATTTGTTCCCATGCATTTGAAAATAATATCGTAGGTATCCAATGCTTTGAGATGAACTCCAGAAGGCAATGCGGGATGCATACATTGTGCTAATCTTTTCGAAATTTTTATTCTTCTTGGAATGACGGGAAATTTCATATGACTCAATAATACTTTATTTAATTTTCCCAAGGCTGATATCAAATCTGCCCATTCGCTCGTGTACTCGAAATTTTTCAATGCCTTGTCCACTGCCGATACATAGCTGCAAAAAATATATATAAATAATAATAATTAATTACACTAATTGAAAATTAAAAGTACAATATCATAAAAAGTGCTTCAAAATAAATAAAACAAAAATAAAGTGTCGAATATGAATTAAAGTACAAAAAAAACATGATAATATTATAAAAAGTGCTTAAAAAAAATAAAAAATAAATAAAGTGTTGAGTTTGAATTTATCTAACCGTTTATAAATATAAATTTTCTTTTTCGAAAATTTTGTTGGAAAAAAATTCTTTAAAATAAAGTTATATTTTTCTTTATTGCGTACACTGTTTAAATATACGGAATAAATTTAAAAAATGTAATTTAATTTATTCTAAATGTGAGAAAAAAATCTTTGACTAATACTTGCATCCTGTATGCATGATTTACGTAACAATTTATTCATTGTCACATATTTTCATGACACTGGACAATAAATGCTTCACTGAGCGCAAGTAAAAATTATTAAACACACTTTTTTTCTTGCTCTACTATTAATTAAAAGTACAGTTATTTTCATGTGCTTCATATTCAAAAAACAAAAGAAACGAAAAATTTACATTACAATAATAAATAAATTTTTTTTTCAAAAAAATAATTATTAAATCACAATTAATGTAGAAAAATGTACAATACATGTTTTTTTTTAATTTTTATCGAAAAATAATCTAAACACGAGAGATAATTTTTTCTTATCAATTATGTATTTTATAATTTGTTTTGTGTAGTTTACTTTCATTTTATATACTATTACTCACTTTCTGTAAATAAAATATTTCAGTGAAATAATATATCAGGGTAGCCACAAAAATTTAATTTTCTTTTACCCTGAGACTCAGACAAAATTTTGAATAATAATAATTATTATTATTTTCTAGAATGTTTAACTCAAATGCTTCTTTAAATCAATCAGGGTGGTCACAAGTTTCAGTTTATCAGACATTTTCCTGACAATTTACTGACATAAAAATTATTTTCCCTGACAAATTTTTTTTACAGGAAAATATGAAAGTTTATGGAAAATGAGTAAAATTTATGAAATTTAATAATTTCTAAAAATTACAACTATAACAATTCCCGAATTCAATTATTTTCTATAATTTTCAACTAAACTTTATTTCTAAATCAATTATTTTAAATAATTTTCCGTAAGTTTTTTGATAATTCAATTATTTTAATACGAAAATTCAATTTTTTATAATAATTGAACTGTCATGTTTTTTTCTTCAGTTTATTCAGGTATAATATTTTCAAAAAATAAAAATAATAAAATGTTTGAAGAATTTGAATTGTAAATATGACCATGATTTCTCCGAAATTTTAATAAGCCCAAAAATATACATTTTTATTTGCTTTATTCGAAGATAATTAATTCTTAAAAAATTATGATAAAAAAATTCTTAAGAATTAAGTAGTTTTTAAAAATATTTAAGTGTAATTTTTCGAAAACAATTGAATTTCTTAAAAGAAAAATTTAATAATTAATAAATTAAAAATTAGGAATAATTTAATAATTTTCATTTTTAAATTTACGTTTAAAGATTTTTCATTAAAATTTTTGATAACTCAATTATTTCCAAAATTTGCAATTAAAATTCTTCAAAAATTGATTTTCAAAAATTCTTACAAAATACTTGAAAAAAATTAACTATTTTCAATTAAATTTTATAAAATTTCAATTATTTAAAATCTTTTGAATTGCGAATAATTGTATAAAAGATTTATAAATAATTGAATTCCTGTAATATTTACAATTTATACAAATAAATAAATGTTTGCTTAGTATTTTATTACAAAAGTTTTTAAATTATTGAATTCTTTAGGAAAATTTTATTAAAATAGTAGTTATTGAAAATCATTGAATTGAGGAAATTTTTTGAAAATAATTGAAACTTTGCCAAGAATTTTATTAAAATTTTCTGAAAATAATTGAATTTCGGAAAAGAATTTTATTAAGTATTTATAAAGATAATTAAAATTTTGACAAGAATATTTAAAATTTTTGAAATATAATTGAATTTCTGCGAAGAATTTTGTTACTTTTGAAAATTATTAAATTTCTGCAATAATTTGTAATTTATCTCCAAAATTCAATTTCTTTTAAGTATTTTTAACTGGGATTCTTCTATAAATCCATTATTTTTAATAGTTAATTAAATATACATTAAAAAATTTAACTAATTTCAGAAGAATTTGAATTATTAAAATTTTTCTAAAATCTAAGTTCTTTAAAATTTTTAATTAAATTCATTCAAACTTGAAATTTTATAAAATTTCAAATTTAAAACCATTTGAAGTTCATCTATTTATGAAAATTGTATAAACGTAACTCTTTGAAAATTTCAATTAATTTTGAAATACATATTTAAGTAATTAATATATTAATTTTAATTTTATGATAGTTCTTCAAGAATTAAGTTATTTAAAATGAAATTATTGTCAGAAATAGAAAAAATTGAAGGTTTTTTTTATTAGAATTCGTGATAATTTCATAGTTTTGAGTCAAACAAAAAAGACACAAAAATTCAGAATTTTCTTATGAATTCTAAAAATTTAATTTTTTCCAGTACTTTTCATAAAATTCCCTGACCTGTGACAATCCTGTATATTTATCAAATTCCATATTAAAAAAATGTGTTTTTTTGTGTATTATAGTAAATTCTACATGTACTATAGGTATGCAAAGAGAGAAAAGTATTTAATTTCTGATTTCTTTTGTAAGGCTTTTTTTACTGATTTATTATTAGGAATTTAGTTCATTTCATTACGTATACTTTAAAACGACTACGTTCACTTCTGTTAGAAGTATAATTATTGATGTCTGTGTATTACACTTGTTTCAAGTAGACTCATAACAGATTTAATATCAACGCAATAAACATAATTAGTAAATATGACAATAATAGTGAATAATTTAGTAAATTCAATAAAATTTTGTATTTTTATTTCATTTTTTTGCTTTTGAATTAAATTGAATAAAAAATAATTTATCAAAAACAAAAAAAGTAAGTTATTAATAATACTCATTTTTTTAAGAGTCGAGTTTTATACTTAAAGTAAAAGAAAATAATTAAAATTTTACTTTTTAATAATTAAATTGTGGTAAAAATTATTTTCCAATTTAATAATATTGATAATGAGTTTAAAAGTAACAACAGCTGTGAATATGAATATTTATAGTTTGATGCTTGACAAATAAAAATCTACATGAGAATATCGTACCACTATATATTGTTATCATCACAAAGAAGTGAATTTTAAAAATTTCTCAATACATTTTTTTTTCGTCTACAATTCTTAAAATTAGATAAAAGTATTTCGAGTCTGATTACTATTCTTTTCTTATCTACTGTTTTATAATGATACAAAAATACTATATAGTAATATATTAATAGACCATAGAATTCTAATCACGTTTCCTTCATAATGTCATTGAGAAAAATATAAAAAAAAGGTTGTTAAAATTTTACGAGTATATTTATTATTGCTCAAGAATTCTTTAATAGAGAAATTATTTTATTTTTTAAAAATTGTTTGTATTGTTTTACTTATTTGTTTCAGTTTTATTTTTGAATAATAAATATTTTCAAAAAAAAAGAAAAATTTTCCAAAAAATAGAGTAAAAAATTGAAAAAATAGATGTAAAATACCGTTATATATATACTTACACTCGATATTTTGAGTCTTTCATCAATTCATATTCCTCTAAAGCGATAGAACCCATTTTTAATCCTTTATATTTTGACTTCTTGATGAATAATTTGCTTGTAAAAATTGATTTTTGTTATTTACATAATAACGTATAGAATTAAAAAAGACACAATTTAAATTGTCTATCAAATTATGTAGTCACAAAGCACTTAATTCTTATATTTTAATAAAACACGCCACTAAGGCAATGATGTAAACGTGAAGTTTGATTTCTTCATTTAAGATTACTTCCCAATTCCGTATCATTGTTTCATTTTTCTTCTGAATAATAACAATAAATAATTATTGCAAAATGAAAAAATTATTTCTCACTGCGATGTTCCGAAGGCGTTCCTAACCAAACTATTAGGTGTTGACATTGAAAATACAGTAAGTTCAAGGCATATGCCATTAGTGTGGATAAAGGTAACCGAATTAAAATCAACTCCAATGGTCGAAGGCTATCGGGACAATTATCATCTTATTGAAAATTTAATTCACATTTAAAAAAGAATCTTCAGTAACACTTGAAATATTTGTATTTTATGAAATCTTATTTCACTGCTGTCAGAAGGATATTACAAAGTGCGTTTTCCTTTCAATATTATCACTTTTACACAATATATTGTCAATTATATTTAATTTCTTGCTATAGTCTCGTGAAACTACATTTTAAAAAAAACAATGAGAACACTATGGCCTGATGTGTAGTTTTATCATATTCTTGATAATAGTTTTTATGTGCTGTATGTGAGTTTAATATGATATGTATACATACACTATATACACATTAAACAAAGATAATGACGTGGTGGGGATTTAAACTGCTGGGCTGCCCTCTTTAAATTCCCCCCTTTTTTCTATTATTCCATTCCAAAAGAAAAACAGATGTTTTTTTTAATATTTTCTCTTTATTATTAATTGTTTATTATTTTTGAATATTTAGAGGAAATATTTGTATTTCTTAAAAATTTCTCAAAAGAAAAATAGAATAATAAATTGAAAACATAACCTCAAAATTTGAAAATCACTTTTTTGTATTTTGACAAAAGAAATATATTTTTTACTTAACTTTTCCTTTTCACTGCTGAAAGTGAATAAAGAATAAAAAGCAAGTGTTTCAAAATATTTTTTATTAGAAATGTCGAAATTTGTTGACGAAAGTTTAGAAAATTTGAAAAATGTCAAATGTACAGGGTTGGTTATACCGTAAATTCAGGAATTTTCCAAAGTAACTATTCAACCCTCCATAATATTTATTTTTCTTTACTTCTCCATTCAGTTTATTATAAAAAAGAGAAAATAATAAATAAAGAAAAAGAATTCATTTTCTAAAGAAAATAATTAATTTATATAATTTTAATCGTCATAATTCATATTTTGTATAATTAAAAAGAAATTATTTTTCCAAATTTAAAAATTGACGCCTTTATTTCTAACCAAGTTTGCGAACGTAAACAACGGTAAAAGACGTAACGCAGAGAATATAAGTTGAACCAAGTGAAATCTCTTCTGCATTGGCCTAATCAACATGATTAAAAATTAAATAGAATTTTCAATGTTTAATTTAATGTAACTAAAAATTAATTTCATTTAACAATTTGAAACAAGTGAATATTTAGAATTGATTTTTCGATTCTATATATATATATATATATAAAAATTGCAGGGAAAAACAAATGGAAAACAATGAATGCAATACAACGTGTCAGTATCTCAGAGAGTAGAGGAGACGAAAATAATTACAAATTACAAGAAAAAAATGCAATTTAATTTTGGACACAGTTTAACCGGAATTATTCTTCTGGTTAATGAACTCTGTTCCTAACGATTAAATAGTTACTAAACTATGTTACGTCGAAGTAGGTAAGTTTCAATTTTTTTTTCTTGATTATGTAATTGTGTCACATGTTCTTTATTATAAGGAAATCTTTTGTATTATTAAAAATATAGATCATTTTTAGGTATTAAGTATTAGTCATTATCATAATAAAGAGTTATCTTGTGATATCATCTTTTAACCATTAATCGACAAAAGGTGCTTATTGTGAAATGATAAACACTGTACAGGAAATGAAAAAACGTATTTATTATGCTAACGAATATAATTTTTAACTATATAAATTTAGTTTATTTCATCAAAAAATAAGTTTTGAACTTAAGAGAAAAGAAAGAAAAATAGTAAAAACAGAATAAGTAATTTAAAAAACAAATAGAATAATTAATGACAAAATATTATTGCGATAAATGTAGTAAAAATAAATTTAAAATAGAAATATTTTTAGGAAAACGAGAGTTGTGGCAGTTTTTAAATTATTTATTTAAAAAAAAACTAAGAAAAATTCTAATAATATTTTATTTTTTAGGGTGAAATCAAAGCCATTTATTTTCGCTCTGATATTAGGTTCCGTGATTTTATACAATGAATTTATTGTATATGAAATACAAAGTTTAAAGTGGACTTTATTGGAATGCAGGGAATGTGTTCGGGTTTTACTTGTTGCGGATCCTCAAATATTAGGAATAAAAAATGAAAATTATTTTGGTTCTTCTGTGGCGATTTGGGATAGTGATAGGTAAACAAACTTTTCTTTAAATTTAATTTTAATTAATTATAAATTATGTAAAGTTGCCACAGGTCAAGGAATTCAGGGAAAAGAGAATATTGACCAGGGAAATCAAGAAAAGTTAGGAATTTTCATTAAAAGTACTGGAAAAAATTTAATTTTTAGAATTTAAGAGAAAATTATTCTGAATTTTGGTGTCTTTTATTTGCCTCATAAACAATGAAATTATCCAAGAATTCTTAGAAAAACCTTCAATTTTTTCTATTTCTGATAATAATTTCTTTTTAAATAACTTAATTCTTGAATAACTATCATAAAATTATTACTTATAAATTATTTAGTGAATATTTTTACATAAATATCTCAAAATTTCTTGAATTTTAAAAGAATTGCGTTATAATTTTCATAAATAGATGAACTTTGAAAGGTTACAATTTGAAATTTATCAAATTTCAATTTTCAATGAATTTAATTAGAAATTTAAAGACCTTAGATTTTTAAAAAATTCTTGGCAAAATTTCAATTATTTTCAAAAATTTGCCTCATTTCAATGATTTTCAATATCTACTATTTTCATAGAATTACTCAAAAGAATACAATTATTTAAAAATAATTTCAATGAAATTGTACGCAAACATTTAATTATTTTCATAAATAATAAAAATTTTACAGGAATTTAATTATTTACCAATTTTTTATAAATTTATTCGCGAAAATTCTGTTATTTTCATGAATAATGAATTCGAAAATTAATGTAATAGAACACGTTTTTGAGTATCTAATTTATTATTTTTAGAGAAAATCAAAATATTCTTTTGAGTCAGGGAAAAAGTCAAAATTTTGTCTGGAAATCAGGGAAAAGTCAGGGAAAAAGAAAATTTAATTTTTATGGCAACCCTGTTATAAATAATTGCAAAAATGTATTTATTTGTGAGAATTTTCAAATTATGTAGTTTTTGTTTTTGTAAATTTATTTATCGTATTTGACTTTTTCTTTTGTAAACTAATTTTTTTTGTTTTGATAATTTTTCTCTTTTCTCTACAGAAACTAGACGTAGGTGAAGTTCTCAACGTTTATCTTCAATAATTTGAAGTAAAAAATATTTTCTACTCATAAACTAATATTTAAGTTTATAAATTGTTCACTTTTAATATTGTTGATCATAAAATATTGTAAAAAAAATTTTAAGACATAAATTTGAATAGAAAATTAATTTTTCTTTTGAATCATTGATTATTACAAATGTTGTAAACTTCACCAATGTGAAACTAGAGTAATTTTTTTTAATTTCACTCATTAATTTTTAATTTCTCTCTAATTCTCTCTTCTCATCTTTTTTTTCTAAATTGATGTCTAAAATAAAATAATTGTTTTATAAAGGTATTTAGATAAAACATTTTCACGAGCTGTGAGAAGAGCGAATCCTCATGCAATTGTTTTTCTTGGTGATCTTATGGACGAAGGACACATTGCATCTGCTGAAGAATTTGAAAAATATAAACGCAGATTAAATTCTATTTTTTCTACTTCTGAAGATATAATGGTAAATATTATTAATGTGTTTAGAAACAGGAAAATTTTTTTATAAAGTCATAGTGAGTAAATGTTTTTTTTTCTAGACAATAAACAGAAGATTACTTAAAAGTTTCGAATTCTTGGCAAATTTTATTATTTTTTTTAGTTTCCATTTAATTTGATTTTCATTAAATTATAAATACAGTAAAATGAATTTTATTGTAATTTTTTAATATTTTGTTTTATTTATTTTTTATTCCCTTGTTAAGTGTTTAGTTGTAAATATTTTTGGTTCTTGCAAACATGTTTTAAATATCTATTATTAATATATATTAAGAAAACTATATAATTATTTATTTTTAATTTCATAAAATTTAAAAACCTTTTTTAAAATATAGGTATTTTATTAATATTAAACTTACTAATTTAATAATTTTACTAATTAATAGAAAATATACTTGCCTGGTGATAATGATATTGGAGGAGAAGAAGATTCGGTGATGAAAAATATTCATCAAAGATTTAATTTTGCATACACCCAGCCTGATACTTTAGTTTATAAAAGCGTTACTTTTTTCAAGGTAAAAAATGTGATAATATAATATATATTATGTATAAAGTATGAAATTTTTTTTATTCTTATTGAATACATTTTTTTATAGGTCAATAGATTAATTCATGAAATGCCTCTTGCTCCTAAGGATGCATTTTTAAACGATTACGCCGAAAGAAATACAACGAATGTCGTACTTAGCCATATGCCATTACTTTTCATGCCCGGTACTTTTGTTCAGAACGTAAGTATAAATTTTCTTCTCATTTAATTTTTTCAAATCTCTCAGGCCTCGGATATTATGACTTTTTCGACTTTTTTTTTGACTATTTTCAATAAATAATTTACTTTTGTATTTAAATAACTGAATTCTCGTAGAATTTTCTAAAAAAATTGATTTGAAAATGAATTTTAGTTTAAATTTTAGATAATTTTCATTTTCAATTAAATTTTTTAATTGCAAATATAATTTATAAACATTTTTTTCTTTATTTTTAAAAAACTTTAAATTTTATTAAAACAATTGAAATTAAGAAATAGAATTGACGCAAATTATTTCCTTATGAAAATTGAGAATTTTCTAGAAAAATATTAAGAAACGGGAATATTTAATGTTTTTCTTCCCAAAAGAAAAAAATGAGTTTGTAAACAATATTGTTTTTAAGAAATAAAAATTATGCATAAAATGGGTATATTTCCTACTATTTAATAAAAATTTATTATCAATTAACAATTTTCTAGTATTTTTTATAAAGAAAATTTAAATGATAATAATTTGCATAATAATTTAGATCAGCCAAACGAAATTTGTTATAGAAAAAAGCATATACCAATCAAAATGGATATATTTTTTATTTGTGAATCATTATCTTTTTTTACAATTTTCAAGATTGTAATATTATTTTATTATAAATTATGAAAAAATACCTGCATATTTTCGATTTGTCAAATATTATAGTTAATTAATAATAGATTTTATCAAATTTCCATTATTTGGAAATTTTTCAATTGTACATTTAATTAAAGCAAAAAAATTATTTAAAAATATTTTTAAAAAAATTAATTATAAGAATTTCTTTTTTACAATTTTTTGAAAATATTATAATATACCTTAATAACTTTTTAAAATAAACAATTATTATAAAAAATTGAATTTTTGTATTTATATTATAAGTGATTTAGAGATGAAATTTAGTTAAAAATTGTAGAAAATAATTGAATTTTCGAAGGACTATTGTTGTAATTTTTAGAAAGTATTCAGAAGGCTTTAAATTGAAATTTACAAAATTTTATTTCCTGTAGAAAAACAAATAAGAAGTATTTAAATATATATTTAACAAAATTATTCAAGTTTTGAATAATTGAATTTAGAAATCACTGAATTAAATAAAACGAATTTTCCGACTTTTTTTGTTTTTTTAATCGACTAAAGAGACTTTTTTGCGCCTTAAAGTCGATCCGAGACCTATTCTCTTCAATTAACCAAAGAATTTAAAAGTATAGTTTCTAATTTTTGTTTGTAAGATAAAATTATTAATTTAGAATGATTAGACTTTTACTTTTTTTTTAAATTTTTGTCGCAAATAATTTTATAGGGAAAAGAAAATATTTTTTTTTTGTATAAAAATGAATAAAGTTTTATATTTCCAATTTTGTATTATTGAAGAAAAAAATGTTGAAGTTAAATTTTTAAATTTCTTTGATGATAAAGGAATAAAGACAGGCGTAATTAAATTGAAATTGATAATTTCTTGATATTGGGGCTTTTTTCTTTAATTTTCTTGCAGGTTATTAAGGAGTTATCGCCACAAATAATATTCAGTGCTCACGAACATAAAGGAATGCATACAAGTTTAGATACTGCAACAGATCAACTCAGTGAAATTCAACTTTTCCCACCGCAAGAAGTTTCATTTTATCAATTAAGATTGGATTTGGGCGATGTTCACGAAATACAAATACCAACGTGCTCTTATCGAATGGGAACGAAAAATATGGGCTATGGATTAGCGTACATTAGTAAGAATCATAATATTCATAATTATCAAGAAATATAAAATTATAATTTAGCTAAAAAAAGAACTTAAAGAAAATTTTTTACTATAATTATTATATATAAATATTATTATTATTACTATTACGAATTGTCAATTTTTTATAATATTAATATTGGATTTTTTATGCAGATCCTCAAGAGAAGACTTTGGACTTTACAATTTTATGGTTACCAGAGAGATTTGTACTTTTAAATATTTACATCATTGTTGGTTCAATAGTTGCATTTATTTCACTAATAATGATTATCAGTATTCGTAGATCTTCTAATTATATTTCTTATTCTCGAGCTCCTATGTTGTGAACCAAATAATTAACATTTTTCTAAATCATTTTTTTATATAATAATTTAGAAAATCAAAAGTAAAAATTTACTTTATCAAAACTATTATGAGACTAGTGGCCAACTAGTGGCCAAAGTAAAAATTTACTTTATCAAAACATTTAATTATTATGAGACTAGTGGCCAAATCTTGTCGTCTTGATAAAAACAATGTGATAGTTTTTTAAAATTTTTTATACTTTAAAAATAACTTGAAACATTTTTACTTAATTAAGAAGAAAAAAACAAAAAAACAATTGGAATAAATTGTTGATTCCAAAAAAATTTAGTTTAAAAAATTTGTTTTTATTTTTTTTATTGTTAACACAATTATTGAAGTTGTTATAAATTTTTTTTACTTTTTCTATTTATGTTTTCTTTATATTAAATGTGTATTTTAATTACATTAATTAATTGAGACTTGAATAATTTTTTTCGTATATGAACTTTTGTCTAAATTTTTATAAACTAAATAAAATTTGGAAAAATATTCGAATTTTAGATGAATTGTAACAATAATGTTATGTAGAGAATTTAATAGACTATTTTTTACTTCTACCTTTATAAAAGTATCAGATTTTAAATAGAATTTAGTTTATATTAATGATTTAGAGATATATGTATATTTATAATTAGAAATTGAAAATGTTTTTTTATTACAATTTTGAATCTTATGAGGAAGAGAAATCTCATTATGTGTATGATTGAAAGGAATGTTAATAGTTTGTGGTAAAAAATGTACTTTATTGTGTAAAATTTTAGTACTAAATTATACTATTATTTATACTTAATGCAAGTACTTAGAAAACTGCAAGAAAATTAAAAAAGGAAATACACACTGTTAAACATGCAAATTGTGTTTTTGTGCCTAAAAACATTTTTTGAATTCCATATTTTTATTTTTATATTTTATTTTCAAAAAATAGTGGATTTTTTTTACGTTAATTACGTAATATATTTTAATGAATGATTATAGATGGAAAATTTAAAGAATTTACTTATTAAGTACATAATATTCAATATTCTTGTTTATTATTATTCAAAAATTTTAATAACATTTTTCGCAAGAATTTCATTATTCTCATAAATAATATTTTTTAGAGCAATTCAATTATTTTCAATACAATTTTAATGAAATTTCTCGAAAGAATACAATTATTTTTAAAAATATTATTTAAATTCAATTATTTTCAAGAATTTTAATATAAATTCAATTATTTTCGACAATTTTGGTGAAATTCTTTTGAAAAAAACATTATTTTCAAAATTTTTAATAAAATTCCTTAAAAAAATCAAATATTTTCAAAAATTTAGATAAAATTCTTCGAAGCAATTGGATTATTTTTATGAATTCTATAATTCTCCACAAGAATTAAATTATTTTCATAAATAAGAAAATTCTTCGCAAGAATTAAAATATTTACATAAATAGTAAAATTCTTTAAAGTAATTCAAATATTTTTATAAATAATAAAAGTTTTTTGTAGGAATTCAATTATTTTCAATACAATTTTAATAAAATTTCTCGAAAGAATACAATTATTTTTAAAAATATTATTTAAATTCAATTATTTTCAAAAGTTTATAAATAAAAATTCAATTATTTTCAACAATTTTGATAAAATTCTTGTCAAGAATTCAATTATTTTTGTAATAATAAAATTCTTCTCTGAAATTCAATTTAATACAATTATAATAAAATTTCTCGAAAGAATACAATTATTTTTAAAAATATTATTTAAATTCAATTATTTTCAACAATTCTGATACAATTCTTGTCAAGAATTCAATTTTTATAAATTGTAAAATTCTTGTCAAGAATTCAATTATTTTTGTAAATAATAAAATTCTTCTGCAAAATTAAATTATTTCTAATACAATTATAATAAAATTTCTCGAAAAAATACAATTATTTTTGAAAATATTATTTAAATTCAATTATTTTCAAGAGTTTTAATAAAAATTTAATTATTTTCAACAATTCTGATACAATTCTTGTCAAGAATTCAATTATTTTTGTAAATAATAAAATTCTTCTGATAAATTCAATTATTTTCAATACAAATTTAATAAAATTTCTCTAACAGGTTTAATTATTTTTAAAAATTGTAATAAAATTTTTCTAAACAATTCAATTGTTCTTAACCTTTTTAATAAAATTCTTTGTAGATTTCAATTATTTTCAATTAAAATTATTTAAACAAATTTTAAATTTTATTTTTTCGAAATTTAATGAAATTCTTAAAAAAAAAACTAATAAAATTGTTCAAAAAAATTTAATTTTCTATGAAAAATTAAAATTTTTCTTTTAATAATTTTCAGAAAGTTATTCAAAAATAAATAATTTCTAAAGTTCAACAGAATTTTTGTAGCATTTCTAGAAATTAGATATTTTTTCGCTACTTTGGATAAACTTCTCTAAATTTTATGATTTGTTCAATCTGATGTAACTCTGTGATTATTTATCGAAGTTCATAAAAATGTAAAAACAAGTCTAACTCAAAAATTAATTTTGAAAAATAATTGAAATAAATTTTTGTAATTTATTTTAATAACAAATTTTGTTTAGGTATTGAAATAAAACAAACATAAGTTTATTACCCAAAATTGGTACCATTAATACCAAGTGTTATATTTTTTTAAATTGAGAACAAAAGTCTGTTTTATGTCCTAAAAGATTTTCAAAACTAAAAAATGGGTACAATGACTTTTTACAGAAAAAGACTCGACATTAGTTATTTTTCACATTATAAAAATTTTAATAAGTTGCATTTTATATAAAAAAGCGATATTTTCTTCCAATATGTGGGAGAAAAGTCGAAAAAGTCTAATTTTATCAAAATAAGTAGAAAAAAGTAGTCGTTTTTTTTTTAAAATAGTAAAAAAAGTCGAAAAAGTCATACAATCCGAGAACTGTATTTTACATACAGATTTGTATTTTTATACAAATTTTTTTCATCTCAAACAAATTTATTCAATTTTAAACAGAAAAGCTTTCTTCTATTAAATTTTCAAAAATTTTTTTCTACTTTGTAGAAATTCGTTTAAATTTTATTTAATTTTAATTTTATTTCGTAAAATCGACGACTGGTAGAAAAATGACAGGAGAAAAATAACATACAATTTTTTTATTTGAAATTGAAACTATTCTATATTATTAATTCTGTTAAGAAGTTATTACAATGATTTATTATTTACACAATCATGGCCTTTGGAGTGATTTGAGAAAAAATACATAACAATATTTCACTTTCTGTCATATATAAAATTGTTCATATTTTCTTAAACGTCTATTATACATAATCTTTCATTCTCGCGAGTGTAAATATATTTTCTTCTTCTTCTAGTTTTTTCTTTAATAAAACACAAAAAAGAGTTTATTGTGCACACGTATTTAAATACTAATCGGAAATTCTTTTCTTTACATTAGCAAAAACGGAGAAAAACAAATCGACAATAGGAATAAATAATAAATCCTACATTAGTTGAAAAAAAAAAAATGTCTAAAAATATCACCGGCAAATCATATCAGAATTCTTAAATATAATTTCAAATTTAAATATTTAAAATATTATTTTATTAGAATGTTAAAAGTGAGAAAAAATTGATATTTTTTTTTACATTATTTAAAAATTTTTAATAAAAGTGTCAAATATTTTTAAATTGGTATCAACTTTTCTGTGCATATAGAAAATTTTGAATATGAATGAATGAATTCTTAACTTATTAAATAATTTGGTACGTTTATATTGAATTAAATTCAAATAAAAAATTATGGTACTGAAAATTTTAATGATATCTGCCAATGATTTTTTTCATTGTCATAATTGTTAGCTTTTTTCTGATTAAAAATTCAGTTAAAAAATCAAATTATACCAGTGATTAAAATGATTTTTAGAAATCATAAAATATTTTTAAAATTCTTTTCAGGCACATACAATATTTTATGAAGAAAAATAACAAAAAAGAATCAAAAGTAAATGATTTCTTTAATATTGGAAAATATTTTTCTTTTTTCTTCTCTTTAGTAAAAAATTAATTGTTGAGCGCAAAAATTATGGAGAGATTTTCACGTGTTTCTTTTTTCATCCCCAGCCGCATTAAAATGAATTGACGCTGAATTGATGCAAAAACGTTTCCTCGTTGGTTTTGGTCCATCGTTGAAAACATGGCCAAGATGCGATCCACATTTCGAGCAATTGACCTCCGTGCGCACCATATCTGGATTAGCGATCAGCAGTAGTAGATTTCCGCCGACTGAGAGTCGGATTTTCATATTCGGAAGTCAAGTGATGGGTGGAGCAGGAGGACAAAGGAAATAATAATAGAGTGTGATTATTTCAAGAGACAAACATCTTTTTTTCGCTACTTTAATCGACTGCTGCTTGTTTTTTTTTATATTCTTCAATTTTTTCTTTTTCTTTACACATATTTTTTTTTTTTTTTTTTGACTAAAAATTGACTACGAATTTGTGATAAAAGACACAAATATTGGTAAACAGCACATGCTTCTTTATAAATTTAAAAAAAAAACAGATGCAAAAAAATTCTAATGTTTATTGAGAAAGTATTTACAGGGTTGCCACGCTTTCGCTCATTTCAAATTCCCTGACTTTTCCAGGTTTTCCAGATTAAAAAACGGAATTTTTCCAGGTTTTTAAAACTACATTTATATTTTACCAAATTAAATAATTAGTCATTATAATTTCTCGATAAGAATTAAGATTTTCAAAAATTTTAAATTCAAACCTTTTTGAAATTAAACAACTTATAAAAAATTGGTATAAAACATGAAGAAAAAATTATGCAAATTGTAAACTCAACTCTTTTAAAATTGAATTAATTTTGAAATATTTAAGAAAAATTAGATTTCAAGAATAAGCACAATAACTTTTGAAAACAATAATTTTCCAGGATTCCGATCAAAATTCCCTGACTTTCCCAAGTTTTTTCAAGGTTTATAAAATTCTCTGACATTTCCAGGTTTTCTAGGTTTCCAGGTTACGTGGCAACCCTGATATATAATTCGAAAAGAAGGATTAGAATTCGCTTAAATTTTTTTGAATTAAAAACCGAAGTGGCTCTCAAAAAATAAATGATGCACTCTCTAAATTTGAAATAGTGAAAATGTTTACTAATTTCAATTAGTGACTAACTTTTTGCTTTTGCATTAGTAAATTTAAAATTTTACTAATAATCTCTACTGAGTTAGTAAAATTTAAAAATTCAAAAGTATAAAGTCAGTCAATAATTTAGTA